TCATCATATAAAAATGATGGCTTTTGCCCTGGTTGGGTGGCACAGTTGGTTGGAGCATCGTCCCATGCACAAAAAGGCTACAGGTTCAATTCCATGTCAGGGCACGTGCCTCGGTTTCGGTTTCATCCCCGGTCAGAGCGTATGCAGGAGGCAGCCGATCTAGGTCTCTCTCTCACATGGATATTTCTCTCTCTCTCTTCCCCTCTCCCCCCACCTCTCCCCCTGCTCTTTCTCTAAAAGCAATGAACATATCCTTGGGTGAGGATTTAAAAAAAAGAAAAAAGAAAAAAGCAGCTTTTGTAATGGTGTAATGGTTTCTAAAAGCTTCCTAAAGAAAAAGAAAGCTCCACTGATTGACATGGCCTGCAGCTGGAACTTGCAGAGTACATTACTTCCGGTCCCCGTGATACACTCTGCTCCCTCATGCCTCCACACCAGACCTCTGCAGGCCACCACTCCTGCCTCTCTTTACCTTCAGACTTTGGCGTAGGTGTCACTAAAATCAGAAAGTCCTCACCATTCCACTCCTCCACCCCAGGTCCCGATCAGGTGCTCTCATAGAATCCAAAATACCCTCTGCCTTGGCATTTATTACACTGTATTGTAACTGCCCACCAGAGTGTAAGGTGTATGAAACCACTGGCAAAGTCTCCCTGCATCACTGTTAAATCTCCAAGATCCAGGACTTGGACAGGTACACAGGGCGACTGCAAAGGACTCCCTTAGGATGAATGGATAAATTCCTTCCCAATCAAAAATGTATAGTAAGATCATTTTCCCTTGATGATTAGGTCATGCTGTTTCTCAAGGACACTTCCATCCTGGGGCGGAGACTTCTGTAAAGAAGTCATTTAAAAAAAATATGTAATTGTATATCCCATGCATTGCCTGGGCAAAAATTACAAGGCTTAAAAGTAATAGCCCAAGATATTTTCAAATTAGCATTTTTGCTACTTTACTTCAGATAAAGAATAACAATAGAAATAAAACTTCAACAATGCCATCAAATTAATTGAGTATGAAAAACAATCTCTGGGATATTTCCTTTCTGGAAAAGGACATTTTAGCACCTCTTACTTCCATACTGAGTAAAAGGTGCTAAAATCCAAGCTATGGTCACACTAAATATACTTGTAAATATCTCAGAAAGAGATTAAATTTAATCAAAGATACTTGAAATTAGCTAAAAAAATAATTATGAGTGGGGTTAAGTGTATTCTCTGTCAGCCCACTGGAGAGAGAATTTCCTCTGGATCAGTCTTAGAAAATCATTATATTTGTTTCATTCCACATCTCCTTAAATTGTTAAAAACATATTTCAAGTAAAAGCTGGAATGTATTAAGGACTCATTTTACTAATTAAGCCACTCCACTTAATAAGAATTTTTAATATTAAAAATACAGTATTTGCCAAAATTTTCTAACATTATGTTGGAGAACTGAAACCCATGAATAGATCATGGTTACATATTTTAAAATAATTCTTTCAATGCCTGAATGTATTCAACATTTATTGAAGACTATTCTATGTCACATACTGTACTAAATCCCTAAAGATAGAGAAATAAATCACCTCCCCCTGCCCTAAATAAGCTCACTGTCCATTGGAGAGATGAACAAATGCAGTTCATCGCAATAAAAGGTTTGGGGAGTGGTGTCAAAGTATGCACGGGGGGTTGTGGAAGCTCACAGCAGAGATTCTACCTTCGAAGGAACAGGAAGCTGGTTGTTTTCCTTTGAGACAACGAAAGTTGCTCCCTCACTGGCATTCAGTGAAAACAGATAGGTAGATATTAAATGAGGGTTCAGTGTTTCTCCTGATGACTGTAGAGAAAAATATAAAGATAGGTGAAATTCAACCTTTAAGTTTAGAACTTTAGCAGCATTAAGTTTGTTGGATTTATAGTTTGAAGAAGTCAAATGTTTCCCCCAGCAGCAAGTATAATGGAGATAACACAGTAAAAATCTCATCATTAAAATGCAAAAGACTTTCACAGAGAGCAAAACACAAAGGAAAGAGGATGGGCGTTGGCTTCAGTAGACTTAGGTTGAATTACAGCGCTGATACTTACTACCCATGTGTCTTTACTCAAATCACATACACTCCCTAAACCCCAGTTTCTTCACATGCAAAGTAGAGCTAATACTAGCTCACACAATGAGTTATTATAAGCATGAAATATGATAATGTTTACGTATCTTTGTGGTAGGCCGTCATGAAAGACTCAAATGTAATGGTAGCAGTCTAACTGGAAATCAAGCCAAGGATTCTAACGTAGGATGCTGAGTCCTTGGCACGGAGTGGGAGGCTGTTGGCAAATGTGAAGCAGTGACCTGATGTCAGATGACTTGGAGCACGAGGCAGGAAACAAAGGCAGGGATGTTAGAGATGATGATGACAATAAAGATAATAATTACAATAGCTCCTTCCAAAGCTCAGACTATTATCACTAAATTAAGCCTTTGATTTCTTAGGAACAATTATTTACTTGTAATCATAAATCTGCTTAGGCTTCAATCAACCTCTGGACTGAGTAGATCCTCCCTGTCACTAAAAGAATTCAGACTCTCTGGAATGCCTGAGCTGGTATGACCTCTGTGAAAATCAGACCTTCCCACTGAACAACTTCTCAACCCCCTGGGGAACAAAATATGAAGGGTAACTATCCTACATGCACTGAGCCGGAAGAGATGCTCAGGGAACAGTGAGCGAGCTGGAACAGGAGGACAGGGAGAGCTTCCAGAAAGTGGTAAGACAGACTCAGAAGTTGAGAAACAAAGTAATTTGAGAGCAGGTGGAAGCTGACAGATGCCATTGCAAGAAAGTAGTAGAAGTCATTCAAAACGAGATAGTAGTAGTTCAAAAAGAGAATGAAGGTGATGTGTACCCATAGATGAGAAGTTTTGTAGCAATTGACATTTGGAGAGCCAAGGATGCAGGCAATTAGTATAGATCCAGGAAGAAGAGCAGAAAGGAATTAACATTACCTCTGCAACTCAAGACTCCTGGGAGCTCCTAGCTGGGGTGGAAGAGATATGTTTCAGGGTAAGATAGAGCCCCAGGATTAGCAGACTAGGGGTGCTAGGGGGAAAGGGAGGTATTCTCACACAGGAGACTAACATGGATTCTACGGCCAGGATTAAGGAAGTACAAGGTTTGGAGCTGAATTTATACTAGATACCAATGACAGAATAGGTGTCTAGATATGGAATCTTTATTTCTACATTAAAGAACTTTAAAAAGTCCTCTCTAAAAACAGGATCTCCCTCAGTGTCAGAACAAAATAGAGGCTGCTGGCGAGGGCTTCTGTGAAACAGCTTAGAGGTTAAGAGGGATGAGGGAGGAAGAATCAGTTCCTTCTATATTGTTGGGAGTTTTTCCAGTTCAGAACATCTAGAAAGTATGCACTAAGGAAGCTGAAATTTCTCAAACTCTGGGAGACTAAAAATATCTGAAACCTTATTTTTAAATGTATAAGGTGTTGCTCTTGAAGAACATCAATCAGTTATTATTTCTCCCACTCAAAGATAATCACTGTTACAATTTTAATACACCTTTCTTATATTTGAAACACTATGGTCTCTTTATGTTGTCATTAGTCAACGGGTAACCACTTCCATAGCGCTTTAGTTTCACAGCCCTTCTAACATTCATTATTTCATTTTCTCCGTATCTCTGTGAAGTACATGAAACCATGTGATCAGACATATTTCTAGACGTAGGAATGGAAGTACAGATGGATGACTTTATTAAGGTCTTAAAACCACTTATGAAATCAAAGCCAGATGATTTAACTCTGAATACAGGCCAATTCCCAGCCTTTTACTGAGCACAGAGGTGAGTGAGAGAAGAATCTGCTAAATTATGCCCATCAATAATCTTGTCTTTGGGCAATCTTGGATATTAAACCTCATCCTGCCTATTGTCGTAGCCTCTGTGTATTGCTTGCACTTAGGACCACATTCAGTTCCAGAGTTTGTTTTCTCTGGCCTCCATCTCCCACTATCCCAAAGGAAAACTGTGCAGTGGGAAGGGCAAAGGCTTGGATTCCTGGTAATGGGGGTTCCAATCCCAGCACCGAGACCCCGCAACCCCTGCCATGGTACTTACCAGCCTCTGTACCTCCATTTTTTAATGTGAACAATAAAGGATTTAATACTTATTTTGGAGGGTTTTAAGCTTTTAAAATGTGATCACATATGTAAAGTACCTATATAGTGTCTGGCACTTAGACATTCAATTACCATTGGCTTTTTTGCTTAAGACACTTTGTCCTTTTCAAGCTACTATGTTACCCCATTTGATATAGGGGAGCAATATTAGCTCTGTTTTACAGAGGAGCCATGAGAAAGGTTAAGGTTATTTCCTGGGATCACATATAAGGTAAGTAAAGATGAAATTAGACCCTAAGTCTCCTAATGTTTGCTGCAGACATGCGTTTTGGCACATGCCACTTCCTCTTAGTGGGACTGATTGCAGTCACAGCTACTGTGGGTGGTTCCTGCTTGGAGAGACTGTCCCATTTCAGGTATCCACTGCCCCCTGATTGCCTGTACTATTCTCTGCCTCAAGGTATTTTCTAGAACCTCCAGGAGCGTGCAGGCAGGAGAATCCTGGGCGTATAGAACCATTAAAGCCCTAAAGTTACCCCTCAACAAAGTTGGGGGAGGGCAGCCAGTGGGTAAATGCCCCCGCCTCTCTTCTTCTGGACAGATAACCCTAAAGTGCACTATTGGATCTGAGTTTGCCCATAATGTGGACTGTGTCAATAACACACACTTTATTTTGGCTTTTCCTCCTCTATGGCACTTTGCTCCATACCCTTGATCTGGCTTCCTGGAGCCATCTCCGAAATAAACTGCCTACCCTTAAGTTCTTGTCTCGGCACCTCAGGAACTAAAGGTTGAGTGGGGGAGGTTGTATTGTTTTCATTCTTTTGCTTTGCTTTGTTTTCATTTGTGTTTGCACTGCTTTTTTCTCTTTATTTCTCTCTCCACAGGTCACCAAGATGCTGGCAGTGGTTGTAATTCTGTTTGCCCTTTTATGGATGCCCTACCGGACTCTTGTGGTTGTTAATTCATTTCTCTCCAGTCCTTTCCAAGAAAATTGGTTCTTACTCTTTTGCAGAATTTGCATTTATCTCAACAGTGCCATCAATCCAGTGATTTACAACCTCATGTCCCAGAAATTCCGAGCAGCCTTCAGAAAGCTCTGCAACTGTAAACAGAAGCCAACGGAGAAGCCCGCTAACTACAGTGTGGCCCTAAATTACAGTGTCATTAAGGAGTCAGATCACTTAAGCACGGAGCACGATGATATCATGGTCAATGACACTTATCTGTCTGCCACAAAAGTGTCTTTTGATGACACCTGTTTGGCTTCTGAAATAACCTTTAGACAAAGCTGATTGATGAGTTAGAAGAAAATGGACCACAAAGGAGATCTGTGTAGTTATCAACCCAAGAGTGGAAAAGTCCAATATTCCTATGTGAAGACAGCAGATACACTCTTCTCCAGTGCTCTGACAGAGCCTGGCCCAGGATAGTTTAACCCACAGAATGATTTATGTTTTCCTTCTAAAATCACCAAACTAGTATCACAAAATATGAAGCAGGTCTGTGAAATAGCCAAAGGGTGAAAATTGACAGTCTAGGCCTTTCTAATTGAGAAATCCATTTTATTTTGTGGGGCTGTGAAGCTTAGATAAAATCTAGAGAGCAATTTACATTATTTATAATAGCTCTCTATTAAATATGATTTCTCAACTGCCCCCCAAATTATTTTATATATAGGGTAAGGTCAAACTAGGTTTACAGTTGTTTATATGGAAAATAATATAATAATTAACAAATAGTAATACAAGAATAAACTGTTTCCTGTATTCACAACTATAAACTTACTTTTGCCCCATCCTGTCTTTGATAATTTTGCAACAGGCAAATGTTTAAATGTTTGCATTTAACATTTCAACAAAGTACAATGTTATATCATGAATATCTGAGACTATAGAGAAAAATGCAAAAAAATATTTTACTTATTGAGTAAAAATGAGATTTTAGACTGCTATGTTCACTATACTAAAACAAATACAAAAGCAAATGTCACAATGCTTATAAAATTTTGAGATGATTTTTATAACTTACAAAGTAGACAGTCATCATTTCAACTTCAATGTAAAAAAATTACAAAGCAGCCAAAATTACAAATTATGAGGAAATATAGGTTTAAGTTTTAGATAAATTCAGCTCTTAACAACTCTTCAAGGCTCTTAAATGATGGATAAGACATGAGAATTATTCAGATTAAATAATTGTGAAGATAAAAACTAACACAACATCAACATTGATGAAAGTATCATCAAGAGAAGACCAACTGTTTAAAATAACATTTTACTTTTCTCTGAAACTTTTAAGAAAGAAAATCCTTTTTGAGCAAGCATTCTTGTGTATAAACTGCTGAGCCGTGTCAAGTGAATGCATCCTTCTAACTGAATCTAGCTTTAAAGTCAGAACCTTCTTGAAAGCTTACTTGCCATTCCAAGTCAGTCAAAGTCTAACCATTATACTCCCAGATGAAGACTCCCCTCTGAGCATTTTATATAGCCTGCAGATTTTAACTTGTCTACAATTGTCTGTCCTTTCTGCCTACTTGTTATTTGTAGGTTCTTTATCTTTTTTCAAATGCTAGTGATACTTCGTTTACAGAGTTAAAATCAAAGCAATGCAAAATGTTGTTGGCTTTATTTCCAATACAGATAATTAATACTTATGACTTAGACCTGCTACTTTATTTTGGTGATTATATGAGGGAAGTATGGATGTGATTTTGCCCAGGACATAGTGTCTGGTCTTACTTTAATTCCTTTCAAAAGACTCACCTACTGAAATTTGGCAAATCCGCATCTCCAACTGTATAAACTTCTCTTGTGATGGCTGAGGAATAGCTGATTTTTAATCACTGGGTCAAAAAATACTGGGTACCTTTAAGTGTTTCATAGGCTGGAATTTTCCCTCTCCAACCTATATCCTTTTTTGTGCATTTTTCCTGGAATGTAATTGCCAATGCTAATGACCCCGCCTCACTTTCTTAACAAAGAATACACCTTTCAATTTTGGAAACTTCAGTTTTAAAATGCTGCTTCATGGAGACCTTGCCATCGGAACCTCATTTCAAAATATGCTTCTGTAAAAATTGGACTCATCTACTCCAGGAAGACATTCTTAGCTTGTCCTTGTGTCAGTAGACATGCAAGCAAATATTTGTATAAATACCTTAAAATCTGTCTGCATGACATTACGAAGTCCATTTTAACTGACTTGCATCTGGATTAAATGTTAATCTTGGAAGCATATAGAGAGATCACCAACTCCAAACCACACAAGCACATGGGTAGGCACATGCAAATACAGAAACACATGTAAATAAATTGCTTAACAAAAGCAATTGGAATATATTAGATTTTTTCATTAGGGAAAGGAACTTATATTATTGAACTTCTAATGATGTCTCAGACATACTAATAGGTCCTTAGCCAACATTATCTTCATCACAATCTCAGTACAGCTGTAATGTCTCTTATGATAAGACCAAAGACCAGGGATCAAGGCAGCTTCCCTAAATTGTATAGATATTAGAGAGAGAAAATGTCTCTTTTTTAAGTCAGCATGCAGACTTAAAATTCTTGTGGCCTGAAGGCCTAAATACTTTACATATATATATATATATACTTTGTAGGATGGTAATATCATATGTTTAAAAAATTACAGTTTGTCTTACATGTTATACACAGAACACAGTATACCTCTCCCACCGTTGGAAATTTAATATCTGAGGCTCAGTTTTCCCATTTTAATTTTTTAAAAAGTTATTTGCTAATAATCTGTTAGTGTTAGACCACATGGGAAATACAAAAGAATGCAGTTCATGGTGTTTCAACTCTAAAGCAAATGCCATAACACAATTAAATGTTCTCATACAATGTCCAATAGATATTTGGGTTACACAGAAGAGATCCAAATTTTAAAGTATTCTTCCTCACACTGTACTAAGTAGTAAAGAAGTTCCATAAAGAATCAAAACTTAATATACTATCAAATGAAAAATAAAGAACTAGATTAAAACTGGCTGCTTGAGTGAAGTAACATCATTAAGGGCTTCCCTCAATACAATTCCTTGAGTTGTTATATTCCAATGTCTTTAGTTAGATCTTGCACTTGAGATAATTACGTGAAGTCCAGAGATCATGAATAAAACAAGCAAACATAAATTCCCTCCTAAGAGTTCACCATCAGTATTGTGAGTATATTTCTAGAGGCTCATTCAACATAACTGTCCTAAATACTGGAAAGAAATGGGAAAAGTCCAATCTAGATTCAGTCCTGGGCTAAATGCACAGAACAATACACCTTGACAATGTTGGAAACGAATGGATAGTTTGAACTAAATAATTAGTAAAGACAAAGGAAAACTGTAACTATAAAACTTAGTTTAGTATAATTAAATCCTAAATGGACACTTTGTTAAATGTTTAGGAGAATGTATTGGAATAACAAGATAATCTGTTAATAAAGCTGAGTCCACATAGTGTTGAACTGCCCTTAAAGAATAAGAATCCATCATTATAAACTATGTTAAGTCTGTAAACATGACCAAAGAGAGAGAATGTGAACTCTTTGGAGGAAAAGGAGGCTTTAAATAGTTTACCCATGACTCTGGGAATTCTATAAATATTATATTCAACATTAAGGAATGGAGTAAGAATGAAGTAAGGAAACTAGATGTGAATAAGAGAGTATCTAGAAACAACTAGTAAGTCTCAAAGAAGTGTTTTTAAATATTTGGAATCCCTTGTTCCCCTTGGAAGAAGCAGAACATGAAAACATTTAGCAATTTATTTTCACTTTATATTCAGTTGTCTACTGTAAATATCCATCACAACCAAGACTTGGCTGAGTAAATATGTTTTCCGAGTAACACACATGAAGAAGTGTTACAGAGCTCTCTAGAAGATACACATTTTTTCTCTCTTTCCCCTCTTCTCCTGCCAAACTCCTACCCTCCACGAACTTCAGCTTTCCTCAGAGCAGACAGTTCCACCTGACTTCATTTAACACTAAACCTGGGGGTATAAAAGTATAAATATTCTTTCAAATATATTTATTTATAGGAAAATATTTTGTTGTTCTGAACACAGTCATGTTTTCATAAAATTGTATTTAAATTAAGGGAAAACTGATGCTTATAAAATCTCTAACTTAAGTCCCTGTTTTTTTGGTGGGGGTCATGTGTAGAGTGAAGCTACCTACTCAATATGGCTTTTCCCTCTCAGGAAAAAAAAAAAAAGAGAGATTCAGTATTTCCCAAGTTTCCATGAGAAACCCATAAAAGAGCACTCAATGTGTGAAAAATCATTGCAGAAAACAAAAGACTCTCCCCATCCTTGAGGAGCTCACAATCCGTTAAATATATATATATATGAGATATCATTTCAAGATAACTGTTTGGCAATATCTAGAACACTAATTAGAGATGTCATGTTCTAAAAAAGATTGTTAAAAATCTATTTAGGAATGCCTTAAGATGACTTCTAATATAAAGATCATTTAAGTATTATAATTCTATTTTATGAACTATGATTAGGTATATTGATTCATTTAATTCTTAACTTCATTAATTATACAGGGGAAAAAATGTCAGATAACCCCCTGTAATATTTTTGTTCATATGTTTTCTCTATAAGTATAGTCTCAAATCACTCCGCAGAAAACCTCATTGACAAGAGTTGCACATCGGGGAACAGTTTTGTTACCACGATGCTTAGCATGAAATGGACATGCTGATGAAAACTATTCCTATATGGTTCCAATTTTAATATACAAATACTCTCTTTTGAACAGAGTGGCTGTGCATGTTTGTACACAATGTTGTCAGGCCTATTTACGCTCTTCTACACCAAGCACATTCATGGTAAATCCAACCTGAGGTGACTGATTTATGTTTTAGAAATTAGAACTGGAAACCCACGGGGCTGGATGAAACAGTACATCTGGAACAGCACATTGTCAGAACTGTCAAATCGGGATCCAGCAAGAAAACAAGAGTTTTATGGCCAATAAAGAGCAAATCCACAGAATGATTGCCTGTGTGTCCTCACAGAGGAGCATCTGGGTCGAGTCCATCCCACAGGCTCTCAACTGCGATAATGGAAATGAAAGCACTTTGAAAACTATAAAAGTTAAAAGGATGGGATAAGCAACGGAGTTGGCTAGAGCTTCTGCAACTTCTTTGAGCCCTGAAGCATCACCTATAAGCAACTGTTTTGTTCCTTATAGAATAATAGACTATTGTTTATGCAAGTGGCTCTTCTTTGACTTGCAAAAAAAAAAAGTGAATGACGTTTCTCAGGAA